CCGAGCACTCCAGCGTGGGCTGCCATGTCCCAGCTGCTGTCCTAACTGCACCAAATGCCTGCCCCCTTCTTTTTTGTTATGTTGTTCGGATTTTCTGATCAATTCAAGACCGTCATGGAGATGGAGCCAATGCTCATATCAGTACCACTTCATTCTCTTGGTTATGGATAGATCCATTTATTTAAAGTTTTGGCTGTTTTTTCTGTGTTTCCATCCATTGTTTCAGACGCTGGTTTTTCCCACTTGCTGCTTTCTGGCATGAATTCCATGTGTCTGATATGTAAAAAACAGTAAAACAGCATTAATGTTGCTTCATTTTTGTTTAAATTCTAAGTTTTGGCAGGGTGTGGCATTTATTTTTTGGCACAATCTTTGAATTTTTTTTTAAAGTTTAGTTATTTGAAAAAGTTAGAGAGCAGGAGAGACAGACTGAGACAGAAAGAGATCTTCCGTCTACTGGTTCACTCGCCTAATGGCCGCAACTGCCAGGGCTGGGCCAGGCCAACACCAGGAGCCAAGAACTTCTTCCAGGTCTCCCATGTGGATGCAGGGGCTCAAGCACTTGGGCCATCTTCCACTGCTTTCTCAAGCACTTTAGTAGGAAGCTACATTGAAATCGGAGCAGCCAAGACTGAAACCAGCATCCATATGGGATGCCAGCACTGCAGATGGCAGCTTAACCAGCAGCCATAGCACTGGCCTCATCTTTCAATTTTTTTAAAATATATTTTAAAAAATATTTTATTTATCTGAGAGGTACAGTTACAGACAGACAGAGGGAGAGACAGAGGGAAAAGTCTTTCTTATGCTAATTCACTCCCCAAATGGCCACATTGGCTGGAGCCAAGCTGATCCAAAGCCAAGAGCCAGGAGCTTCTTCCAGGTCTCCCACGCTGGGCCCAAGCACCTGGGCCATCTTCTACTACTTTCCCAGTCCCAGCAGAGAGCTGGATTGGAAGAGGAGCAGCCAAGACTCAAACTGGTGCCTGTATAGAAGCTTAGCAGGTGAAGCTTAGCCTACTGTGCCACAGCTCCAGCCCCCGAATATTTTTTGATTAAACAGATTTAACTTATTTATAGATTTAGTCTGAGTTTGAGCTTATGTTGTGTTTACAATTCTAATAGTGATGTCCTTTATGTGAAAAACACCTAACAAACTCTTATCGCTGCAGTTGTCACAGTTAGCATCCACAGGTATTGTTTTTATTTCTGTCTGTTCAGGAGAAGGGTTTTGGCATCATTCCGTGCTAGTCTGCGTTGTGTTGCTGGAACAAAATACCTGAAGCTGGGTAAAGGAAAGAGGCTACTTTAGCTCACAGCTGAAGCAGAACGGGAGCCGTGGGCTTGCAGAAGGTACCAAAGCACGTGTTCATCCCAGGAGAACTCTGTCTGAGGCCAGCATTAATCCCTTATGTGGGTGGGCACTCCATGAACTAATCACCCCCAAACCCCCTCAAGATTTCATCACATGAAGAGGCCCAGCCCGCAGCACAGGGACCTCTGGGGAAGAAAACATAGCTTTCCCTGGCTTCAGTCTTTACTGATGTGATCCTGTTAGATCTGCCTTGACATTTGATTACGTCATCATCATCATCATTATCTTACATTACATAATACGCTTAGAGAATAATGTGACATTTATGGTTTCATAGCCAGGTTTCTGTTCATTATGCAGTTTGGTCTTGATCCTGATCCTGATTTTTTTTCTTTAAAGATTTATTCATTTATTTGAAAGGCAGAGTTACAGAGAGGAAGAGGCAGAGAGAGAGATCTTGGTCCACTGGTTCATTTCCCCAAATGGCCGCAACTGCTGGGGCTGGGCTGATCCAAAGCCAGGAACCAGGAACCAGGAGCTTCCTTTGGGTCTCCAGGGGGGCCAAGGACCTGGGCCATCCTCCACTGCATTTCCAGGCCATAACAGGTTGGAAGTGGAGCAGCTGGGACTTGACCCAGTGCCCATATGGGATTCCGGCACCACAGGCGGCAGCTTTACCCACTACGCCACAGCGCTGGCCCTAAGAACTTTTTATTAAGATACATTTCATACACCATAGCACTTGTCATTTAAAAATCTGTGACTTGGTTGTTTTTGGTGCATTCACAAAACTATGTAACCATCACCCCTTCTCATTTTAGAATTTTTTTTTTTTTTTTTTTTTTTTGACAGGCAGAGTGGACAGTGAGAGAGAGAGACAGAGAGAAAGGTCTTCCTTTGCCGTTGGTTCACCCTCCAATGGCCGCCGCGGCTGGAGCGCTGTGGCCGGCGCACCGCGCTGATCTGATGGCAGGAGCCAGGTACTTATCCTGGTCTCCCATGGGGTGCAGGGCCCAAGGACTTGGGCCATCCTCCACTGCACTCCCTGGCCACAGCAGAGAGCTGGCCTGGAAGAGGGGCAACCGGGAAAGAATCCGGTGCCCCTCATTTTAGAATATTTTCTTCACCCCATAGAGAAACCCCAAACCCATTAGTGGTCTCCCCGCTTCCCACCCCAGCCCCAGGAAATTCACATCCCCTCTGCCTGTTCTGGAGGCTTGGTGTCCATGGGGTTGAAGCACACGGCTGACCTTGTCCCATTTGTTGCAGCCCAGTGGGAATCCCTGGTTATCCAGGACGTGGGTTTGTGCTTTCGTCCTGCACGGCTCCTTCCCGGCTTTTCCTTTTCTCAGGTTTGTCCCCCACCTGTTGCGGTTCACTGCTGTTTTCGCTTTTCTTTATCACATCCAAGTTGATTCTGCATATTCAGTTTCCTTTCACTTCTTCTTTGCTGCCTGGACTTGCTGTCTTTTGGTGGCCGCCCTGTTTCTTCATGTAATTGGCCATGTTTCCTTTACATTTCTAAGTACCAGCCTTCAAAAACCATCACCCTGGGCATGGGCATCGTGGCGCACAGGATTAAGCCACCACCGCGACACCAGCGTCCCATGTGGAAGTGCTGCTTCAAGTCCCAGCTGCTGGGCTTCAGATCCAGCTTCCTGTGAATGTGTCCTGGAGGCAGTGGCCGTGACCACGTGCTTGGGTGCGTGCCACCCCCGTGGAAGACCTGTTGGAGTTTGTGGGTCTTGGCTTTGGCCTGGCCCAGCCTTGGTTGTTGTGAGCATTTGGGGGAGGGAACCAGTGGATAGAAGATCCATAGGTGTGTCTGTCTGTCTGTCTGTCTCTCTCTCTGTGTCATTGTGCTTTTATTTCCTCCTTTACTCCAGTTTTTTTTTTTTTTTTTTTTTAAATCTTTGGCTCTAGCAGAACGTCTTCTTTGAAGTTGATACTTTCAGAGTATCCTGAATACAGTCCCTGACTCCCTGGGTGTTTTTTAAAAAGTTTTGTTTATTTATTTGACCAATTGAGAGAGTGAGACACACACACACACACACACACACACACGCGCGCGCGTGCGCCACAGATCTTCCATCTCCAGATGCCCATAATAGCTGTGGTTGGACCAGACCAAAGCCAGGAGCCAGGAACTCCATCCTGGTCTCCTACATGGGTGGCAGGGACCCAAATACTTGATCCATCATCTGCTGCCTCCCAGGATGTCCATTAGCCGAAAGCTGAATCAGAATCCCGCAGAGGCGGGATTTGAACCCAGGCACTCTGATGTGGGCTGCACACATCCCAAGTGGCAGTTTAACCACTGCACTACAAACTCTGCTCCCGAGGTGTGCTGAGCTCATGGCTTGGGAGGTCACGTGTGGACCTGTGAGCTGGGCAGCACTGTGGAGAATCTTCTGCCCTAAGCAGCTGCAGCACTTGGCTCCCAGCCTTTCCCCAGTTTCTGCCGTGGCTTCTCCTCTAGCCCCATGGCCTCTTTCTGTTTCACGCACTGCTGACTTCCTCTGTGAACACGCAGGAGCAGCACTGTGGCTGCTTTTCTCCTGGAGTCACCCTCCTTCCTCTTCAGTTTTAATTCCAGGGACTGCATTTTCCAAGATGTGCGTTGCTGCTGGTGGGTGCCCCTCCTACCTGCAGTGTGCCACGTGAGCCTCGTGGTCCCCATCAGGATTGAGGGGTGCAGTCTGATGGAGCCAGGGGCTGCCACACCCCGTGGGGCTGAGGGTTCTCACTGCCCAGGTGCCTGGCAGGCCTAGACCTGGAGTCAGGACTAGGAAAGACAAGGCCTGACTGTAGGTGTGGCTTCCTCCTGGCACTGCTGTTCCAGTGTCAGTGTGCATTGGCCTCCTGTGTGTCTTCATGGGCACTTCCGCTGTCCAGTGAGTGTGCCCTCTGGGTGTGATGCCGAGCAGGACTGCAGAGGTCAGCGCCCCAGTATCTCCTTCCTCCCTCCCTCTCCTTTCATCCCTACATTTATTTATTTGAAAGGGAGAGTTATAGAGACACACACACACACACAGAGAGAGAGACAGACAGACAGAAGGAGAAATCTTCCATCTTCTGGTTCACTTTCCAGATGGTTGCAGTGGGGCCAGGGCTAGGTCAGGTGAAAGCCAGAAGCCAGGAGCTTCATCCTGGTCTACGTGGGTGCAGGGGCCCCAGCACTTGGGCCATCGTCTGCTGCTTTGAAGGGTGCATTAGCAGGGAATTGCTGGATCGGAAGTGAAGCAGCCAGGACTCAAAACTGTGCTCGTTTGGGATGCTGGCATCACAAGTGCTGGCTTAACCAGCTGTGCCATACACCAGCTATGACCGTCGGGGTCATTTATTTCTCTGCCTGTACTGGAGTGGTCCTGTCTTGAGAGCTCTGGAACTTTGGGAGCTTTGAAAACAACGGTCTTTGGGCTTTCATTTAGGGAAAGGAAAAAATACCCAGGGAGTCCAAAGTATCCCATTTCACTGGCTGGACTTGGTCATCTGGACTACAGGATTTGGGAAGATGGGTTTGCACTTCCTCTCTGTGTGGCTTTGGGACCCAGGTTCCCGGCAGCTGCTCCGTTTCCACTACAGAGCACCCAGCCTGCCGTGTGGAAAGCTGCTGCCGGCTGGTGTCCAGGAGACGAGGACGAGCATGCAGTAACCGTTTGCAACCAGGCGGTGGCTGTTGTGTAACACACATCACGTTTCTGATGAGGTGGCGCGGTTATACAATTTTGGCCAGCCCGGGTGGGTTATAAAAGCTGAAATTCCTTCAGCACCTTAGTGTGTCTTGTGCCGAGCACTGGGAGAGTCAGGAGGACGCCCAGCCAGCAGCACAGCGGTGTTGGGTGGGGCAGTGGGCAAAGGCACTTTTGCAAGCAGGGTGGGAGCTCATTCTGCAGGTAAGGCCGTTTTTCTACCTGAGCTCAGCTTTGGGGAGTGCGTCCTGAGGCTGCACGGATTCATGAGTGTGGTGTGCATGTTCAGTTCTATGGCTGTATGTGTGATGTTCTGTATGTATATTACTTGTGTGTGTGTGTGTGTGTGTGTGTGTCTGCATGTGCGTTTGACCGTGTAGGTGGATAAGGAGCCCATGGCTCAAGTTCACCTAGCCAAGTGTCCAGAAAATACCCACAGTCTAAGTGCTGTCAGACATTATTTAAATGTGAATCACTGAATTGTGGCATTTATGCAACTTCTAGAAGTCAGCGCTCTCTGGTAAATGGGAGGAAGAGTAGCAGTAAGATCCTGGCCCATGGCCATGAAGGTGCCAGAGTCCGTGTTTTTTCCAGGTGCTCATTTGCTTTATTCTCCTGGTCAGGTGCAGCCCAGGATGGCCAAAGCTGTGCATGGTCTTTGTTGTTGTTTCCTTCCTTGTAGAATTCCAGAGGCTCAGTGACAACTGAGCACACAAGAAGAGAATCCTGATGAAGCTGACTTCACGGAGAAGTGGACTCTGTAGCTGAGGGCACAAGTATTTTTAATCCCTTTTGGGTTGTGAAAATGTCAGGTTCTGACGCCAGACCAAAGCACTGTGTCTGGCGTACCAAGCTCAGTGATTGCAGCCTTTGAACTGAATGGCTGGTTTTATGAATTACTTTGGAGGAACACACTGCTTCACAGGGAAAAACAAACAAACACGTGTGCAGGCAGGGAACGTTTCCAGCCTTTCATGTATGAAAGGTCAGGGGGAAGCCTGGCCGTCAGCTTGACCGTGCACTTGGTGTGGACCTGTGGCAGAGCGATGGTGAGGGCGTCTGTCGGGGCGGGTGAGGTTTCAGAGCTCCCTTTCCTTGTCTTGGGAGCGGCCTAGGAGCTTGTGGTGCACCGGCGGCAGCTCAGCTACTGCAGAAGAGAGTTGCAAACAGAATGGGAAGCAGGTGCTGGAGAGAGGGCCGGCAAACCTGAATGGATGTAGCGACAAGTCAGGAAATCGGGGAGAAGTGGAGCTAACCCTCTCCTGGGAGACGAGAGAAGGAAACTTGACGTTGGCACCTGAGGCTCATGAAAGGGTGAGAACATTGCACAGCAGAGTGGCAGCTCAGAGCGAGGCAGCTAAGTCCTTGGAGTTTGCGTGGTGGGTGTGGACGGGTACTCCAGTGCTTCCCTCCACGTGCCAGTGGTGGCAGCAGTAGCAGAGGTGACCAGGAGTCCTCCTGGGGCTCCACATTCAGGAGAACAGGTAGGGAAAGGTGTCGTGGAAAGAAGGGTGGAACAGGGAGCTGTGGGCAGGGTTAGTGGGGTGGAGTCGTGTGGAAGCCACCACAGCCCTGAGCTGTGTTCTCTTGGAAACATGGAGTGTGAGAAGACCCAGGCCTCTGGAGACCATCCAATGACAGTAACCCTGGGTTTTCCTCGACTTCTCCAGAATTACCTTCAGACCTGACCCTTAACCTCTGCAGTGCCTAGTCTGTGGGTCAACCTGGAAGGGGTATGCGTTTTCAGGGTGCTGCCACTTAGGCCCTTGGCTCTTGTCCAAGGGTAAATCAACCTCTCTCTGCCTCAGTTTTCTTAGCTGTGAAATGGACAAAATAACAGCGAACACCCGTTACTGTGAGGGTGTAGTGAAATCAGGTCTGTGTCCTGGATGTGCTAGGCGGCCAGTTCTTAAAAGCACATGCTCCAGGCCGGCGCCGTGGCATTCCATAAGGGTGCCAGACTCCGTCCTGGCTGCTCCACTTCTGATCCAGCTCCCCCTACTGCTCTGGTGAAAGCAGCAGAAGGTGAACTAGATGCCTGGGCCTCTGCCACCCACGTGGGAGCCCTGGATGAAGCTCCTGGCTTCAGCCTTGCCCAGCACTGCCCATTGTGGCCATTTGGGGTGGGGGATGTAAGTGAACCAGCAGAGGGAAGATCTCTCTCTCTCCCCCTCTCTCTTTCCCTCTTTGTGCATCTCCTTCGCTTGTGTTTAAAAAAAAAAAAAAAAACTTGAAAAGCACATGCTTTTAGCTTCTCATGTAAATTCCATGTAAAATTAGCTTTTTAGTGGCTTTTGCAGTGGCTGATGGTGAATACTTTTTTTTTTTTTTTTTGAAAGACTTATTTATTTATTTGAAAGACAGGGTTACAGAGAGAGGTAGATCCAGAGAGAGAGAGGTCTTCTGTCTGCTGATTCCCTCCCCAGTTGGCTGCAATGGCCAGAGCTGCACCAATCTGAAGCCAGGAGCTTTTTCTGGGTCTCCCACGCGGGTGGAGGGGTCCAAGGACTTGGGCCATCTTCCACTGCTTTCCCAGGCCATAGCAGAGAGCTGGATCGGAAGTGGAGCAGCCGGACCTCCAACTGGTGCCCATATGGGATGCCAGCACTGCAGGCAGTGGCTTTCCCCACTACAGCACAGTGCCCCGGTAAATACATTTTAAATGGTGTCTAAATTTAAAAAAACAAAAAACCCTACTTTTGTGAAAAAGTGATTGTTAAATAAATCACACAGTAAAGATAAATGCAGTGAAGCCATCTTGAGCCTTCTTCGTCCTCCCAGACACACGTTTCTATTTGAAATCTGGCCCATGGCTGTGCTGGGGTTCCAGTCTGCAAGGCAGAGCCTCGGTTTTGTTTCCTGGTGTGTGACTGGCTAGAGATTTCCCATGGAAAAATGTTTGCACTTTCCCCAAATATCTGAGTGCACTTTATGTACTGGACATGGTAGCCTCGTCTCTGTCCCTGTCCCTGTCCCAGTCTGGTAGAGGGGGCCTGGATTAATTAAGTAGCTCGTGCTGTGGAAGTGTGGAAGGGGGCAGCCACCACGGGAATGCTCCTTGGAGGAGGAGGCCTCTTGAGCTCGGGAACAAGAGAGCTGCATTGTCAGTGGGCAATGGCCGGAAAGTTTGGCAAGATTTCTGCTGGGAGATAACAGGGAAGGTAGGCAGCGTCGCACCTGACACCTCACCTCCAGCAGAGCATCCTCACCCTGCTGCTGACCTCAAGCAGAACATAGACAGGGCCCCCCTGCACCCTCACCAAGTGGTCGAGTGAGTCAGGTAGAATCTGTGGCCCTCATTCCTCATGGCTTGGGCACACATGTAAACTGTTGTCGGCCACACAGGCTGTCTCAGGGCAGGTTAAAGAGCTTTGCAGGATTTGCAGAGTGGTGTGGGACCAGAGCTTATCCAACGCCAGGGCTTCCCGGAGCAGGTCCATCGGGTAGACCCAAGAGGTCCTGCCAGGCAGGGTCTGTGTGGCATCTGGCTTCTTCCATCCGTCGCTCCATAAAATGTTTGCTCTCGGTCAGGAACGATCCTCCACACCACCTTGCCACGTGGATGTCCTGGGAACACTCATCACGTTCGTGTCGCAGCGGCTTCTGTCCTCTCTGGGCCCCAGGAAGGACCTGCGGCCCCAGGGTGAGCTGATTCCTCACTATCCCGCAGTGTGCACTTGCCCGGCGGCCTTTGCTTCCCCCCTGCAGGGCAGCCTGTCGCCATCTGGGTGCCCTGTGAGTGGTGTCTCAAGGGAACCTCTGTCGCGGGGCCCTGCAGGGATCGGGGTGTTTCTGGCTGCCTTTTACAGCTCGCCTTCTCTTTAGAGCCCAGGAGCCCCACCAAGGCAGCGGCGGAGCTGAGGCGGAGCAAAGGAGCTTGTCTGGGCAGCAGGCGCCGAGGGATGACCGGCGGGCAAGGCCACTGTGGCCTGTCTGTGTCCTTGCAGCAGGAGGGAACAGGGCCTGCCTCCCGCGCCACTTTCTCACGTGGACAGATGTGTTCTGTGCGCGTGTTTGCCTGACGTAAACCAGGCACTTGGAAGCAGCCTTTGTGCCCCTGTGCTGAGCTTTGCGAACACCTGAAGCTTTCAGGCACTTCCTAATTGTCCACGTCCGTGTGGTGTGGCGTGGCATTTCGGCTGCACAAACCTTGTATGTGGCAAACCCGGAGAGCGAAGCACGCTGATATGGAATGCTGGCGTCCCAATTAGTGACTTAAGTACTGTGCCACATGCCTGGACAGATTTCATTGTATCATCAAGAGCCACTAAATAATTTCATGATCCACTAGTGGGTGCCAGCTTGGAGCTTGGAGTGTAAGACCATGAGTTTCTGAAGTGTTTTGGAGAAGGCTGTAGGATGACTGAGCTTGTTCAGTTATTCCCCTGAGCATGGTTGTCATCACAAAATCCAGTAATAATCATGGCTTACAGGTTCATTTGTTGCTGCTTAGAGCTTTTAAATGGAATAATGACAGCTAGGATCAGCAACAGAATTGTCAGATTCCGAAGGAGGGACTCTGTGTTAGGAACCATCTAAGTCATTTTATTTGAAGGGATGAGGGATGTGATCCTATAACAAGTTTAGGATATTTTCTCTAATGATTTCTTTTTGACTTGGCTTAAAAGCGTTTGGTCAAATAGTTAGCATTCAACAGAATGTAGTGGAGCAGCCACGGTTCAGCTCCAATCCTGTAACGACGGGATTTAAACCAAATTGCGGGTTGGATTCTATGTGTGTGTTACTGTTCAACTTGGCCGGCTGCCCATCAGGGCCAAAGTGCTGGTTGGCAGGTTGGCGTTTTGAGCAACTTACCTTAAAGTTCTCCTTCACTGCCCTCTCACTTGTTCAGATTGGCTTATGCGAGTGAAGAGAGCGGCTTCATCCCAGCCCTGGTTGCTCATCCCCAAGTAAGAGTCATCGGAGAACCACTAGTGTGAGAATATTTGTTTATCTGTGGAAAACGCAGGTTTCCAGGGTGGACGGTTGGTGTAGCAGTTAAGTTGCTGGTTGAGACAGCTGTGCTATGTCTGGGTGCCTGTGTGTGAGTCCCAGTTCCGCTTCCAGTCCATCTTCCTGCCAATGTGCGCCCTGGGAGGGGGCGGTGATGGGTCAGGACTTATGTCCTTGCACTCCACGTGGGAGACCCGGATGGAGTTCTGGGCACCTTGCTTCAGCCTGGCCCAGCTTTGCTCTTGCGGACA